GTTTAAAGTGATCTTATCAATACAAGTGTTGGACGTGTTAATGGCAACAACGTTAAATTTCTACCGAATTCGTTAATTTACCTGCTGTCGTCCGCGCGCGATTGCAATAATCATTGTCATTTGTGTCATTGTCACAAACGCGGAAACTCTTTTTGTATTGTCTTGAGTCGTTATTACACTCAGTCGTTTAGTGGCTGATGAACAGTTTATCTTTTATATCTCCTCACATATTTCAATAATTTCAGGTAGATTTTGAGTTAATCGTCGTATCCGATATCGGCATTGTTTCGCTGTTTCAATAGTCATCGCTCGCATCTTTGTTGCACCACACTCCATTGGTGTGTATGGTTGATTGTAATCAACGATAATTCATCATCACTTTATATCTGCTGAACAGATCGATCACATTGTGATTCTATCTGTTTCTTTTTAAATTGAAGATCAATCGCTTCTGAGTGAGCGTATATCTATCTCTTTGTTTGTTGTGCATATTTTCCATTGCTCAGAAGCTTATACATCAATCGAAAGATGCTGCAAAAGAAATTACCACGTGAAGGCACAGCACCACAAACGGAAGACTCAGATTCTCCAGTAGAGCGACGACTGCATCAGTTTTCTTCATCAGTGCCCATAAGCTACTCGCGTTTTGAATCTTCCAAATCTTCGACGACGATATTCACTCGACGATTCTTCATAAATCAACCTGCTTTCACCTTACTATTTCAATTCGCCGCTGTTATTTTTCTGATTGTACCATGTTCGTGTCAAATGCCTCCGGTACCATCAGGATCAGATCGTGCCGAAGTGGACATTCGAGTTTCTGGAGCTTGTAGTCCAAGTATGCTGTAGACTTTCTTATTTTTCATTTGCTTGACTTTCGATCGAACTGAACATTTTTCTGTTTTTCAAATATCTGTAGATAAGATCATAAGTTATTTTGAGGTCCACTGGTTCAACTCATTGATTTATATAAGCAGATAATAAGATTGAATTGAATAGTTGATAAGAATCAAAAAATTTCGAACGTACCTAAGCAATAAGATTTTTTATGCGATCATTCATAAATGATTTA